ACTGCAGCCTGACCAATGCCTCATAGAGGGGAAATATCACCTCCCTAGACCTGCTCGTGATGCACCTACTAATGCAAGAACGAGTGCGGTTAGCCTTGCTTATTACCTCGTCACATTGGTGACTTATGTTCATTTTTGCATCAACTAAGACTCCGAGATCCCTTTCCACTGCTGTGGTACTCAGAATGGTACTTCCCAGTCTATAGTTGTATTGGAGATTCTTTCTCGCCAGGTGCAGCACCTTGCACTTATCCTTGTTAAATTGCATCCTATTCTGATCCGCCCACTTCCCCAGTCTATCCAAATCCACCTGGGTTCACTCCCTGCCCTCCAGTGTGTTAACTGTACCCCATAGTTTGGTGTCGCCTACGAATTTGGACAGTGTTTTCAACCCCCTCATCCAAATCACTGATGACGATTTTGAACAGCACTGGTCCAAGGACAGAGCCCTGGGGGACACCACTGCCCACATCTCTCCAGGGAGGAACCGCCCCATCCACCACCACTCTCTGGGTGCATCCCATAAGCCAGTTTTTCACCCACCTTACTATAAAAAAATCCACATCACAGCTACTCAGTTTGCTTGTAAGAATTGGTGTGACACTGTGTCAAAAGCCTCTTTAAAGTCCAAGTAAATAACATCTATCTCCACCTGCATCTAAGCACTTTGTGACCTGGTCATAAAAAGAGACCAGGTTAGTCAGGCAGGATCTGTTTGCTATAAACCCATGCTGGTTCCTCCTTAACATTGTATTACCTGCTCCCCTCCCCCCCGGTAATCCTTTATGATTTTTTCTAAGGTCTTGCCAAGAATAGAGGTAAAGCTAACCAGCCTATAATTACCTTCCTCCCCTTCTTGAAAATAGGGACCACATTGGCCTTTTTCCATTCTTCTTGGACCTGTCCTGAGCGCCACGAGTGCTCAAACAGTTGCACCAGTGGTTTTGCTATGACACTGGCCAATTCCTTTAGTATCCTTGGGTGAAGATTACTGGGGCCCGCCGACTTAAATATGTCCAACCCCTCCAAGTGCCCCTTCACTAGGTCAGCACTAACCATAGGTGGATTGGTATTTCTCTCAAGCCAGACTAAAGTTTTATTGGGATGTGTGTTTGTATCCATGTCCAGGAACACAGATGCAAAGAAGTAATTTAAAAGCTCCGCTTTATCCATCCTGTCTGTTACAAGTTACCCTAGACCATTCTGTAGAGGCCGTATGTTACCCTGTGTCTTCTTCTTGCTCCCTATTTACTTAAAGAAGGACTTCTTATTACTCTTAATCTTTGTTGCCAACTTAAATTCAGTATCTGCTTTGGCCTTCCTCACTACTTCCCTGCAAGCACAAGCCAAGCAGGTATACTCCTCCTTGGTGGCCGCCCCCTGCGGGTTGTTAGGAGGTGGTGGTGTCCTGGTTCTGGAAGTATTCTTTCAGGTGATGTCTGCAAAAGAATTGTTTTAATTCTTCACATATTAGTATCTTGTTAGGTTTTTTCTCTGGGCAGAAGTTTAAGCCTTTGGAGAGTACAAATATTTCAGATTGGAATAGCGTGTGTTATGATAGGTTGATGATGTTTGTGTTTTGAGTATTGCTGTTTTGATTCCCTCCTGTGTTGCTTGTGAGCTGGCTCTGTTGGGATAGCCGATTCCACTTTTTCATCTTATGTTGGATGGCTGTCATCAGGTATTTCTGGTAATAATTTGAGTCTGCTGCAAAATAGTCAGGTACGTCTCCAGGTTAATGTCTCTTAGTTTCGTAGCATAAGTCAGTATATTGTGTTTCAGTTGATCTCTTTTGGAGTAGGTTAGGTGAAGAAGATGGTTTCTCAGTTTCTCTGAAGTTCTCCTGCATAGTTATGTTGTGTATATGGAGTTGTGTGTGTTAGCTAGAGGACTGCAGATGATGAGTCCCCTTGGGATGTTCTTGCACAGGTTTAAGATGCTGCGGTGTTGTCTGACTTTTTTTTCTTTAAGCTGCGGATTTTCCATTGTAAGTAGCAGATTTTGTTGCCTTCTATGTTATGATAGTGTAAGAATGATGTGGAAGCCATGGTAGTCCAGAACCAATAAGAGGACAGAATAACTCATGGGCAGATGTAGCAGTTTGAAAATGGGGGTGCAGATGGTGAGGTGAAACAACACTTATAACACAACATGCATTTTTCTCCAGGTAAAAAGAAACTAGAAGCTTTACTGATATACTAGAGGCCTAGGCTTATATTAGTTTAGGATCAAAGCAAAAGTGAATATAACTTTATTGGAATGTGCACTAAATTGCTAGAATATATATTCAATTTAAAAAACACAACAAACTAGGCAAAAATAGTCAAAAGATATTAGTCCTTAGTTATTATAGTTAAATGTGCATCTCTTGTTCAGATTCTTAAAACAAAATCTAGCCTTCTTAAGCATTCTGACAGTGCATTCAACACTTATCTGTCAGTCATTTCCACACCTGAGTTAATGTTCATCTGAGTTTATGCTATCACACCTGAGTTAATGATTTTAGCTAAAATTAAAAGCAGACTCTAGGGCTTTGAAACAGAAGAGAGATATTACCAGGAGTGACTAACAGACACCAGAACTGCAGAAGAAAAGATAACTTAATAATGGAACATCAAGACCATTAAAAAGCAGAGTGTGTCATTAGCACCTGAAATTAGCAGGAATCAGGTACATTATAATGAGCCATGAAGTCATTTGACTCCATCAGCACTGCCTGAAGAGAAATGCTGCTGCCCTTCCAAGGCAGGAATCAAAGTGGGGGTGCAACTGCACCATTGTACCTTCCCCTCTTTTCCACCCCCCTGCTGCTGCCCAGGATCTGGCCCTGGAATAATTTATAAAACAGGAGCATAGCAGGGGGACAAAACAGCTTTAAAGGAAACTAGAATATCCACATAAAACAGCGACTCCCCCCCTCCAACCAATATCTCAGCCTAACTTTGCTAAACACCTGCCCAAATAGGAAGGCCTTACATTGCTTCTGAAAGATGTCCAGGCTTGGGCTCTGGCAGGCCACTAAAGGGAGAGAGTTCCAGAGCTGAGGAGCACCTGCTGAGAATGTCCTCCCACACATTTTCACTAATTGGACTTGGCATTTAGACAGTACTTGCAGAAAGTAGCTCTTGGCTGACCATAGGGATTGTGATGGGATGTAAGGGAGAAGGTGGTCTATTACCTATGTAGGGCTGAGACCTTTTAGCACCTTATAGGTCAAAACCAGAACCTTGAATTGCACCTGGAAAGATACTGGGAGCTAGTGAGGACCCAGGAGTTATGTGCTCATGGTGACCCACCCCCATCAGAAGGTGGACTGCTGTGTTCTGCACCAGCTGCAGCTTCCTGCTCATTTTCAAAGGCAGCCCTGGAGAGAGAACATTACAGTAGTCTAGCCTTGAGGTTATGAAAGCATATCCGGAGTGGGCAGATTCAACTGAAAGAAAGGGTCCCAGCCTTCTCGACAGATGGAGTTTGTGAAAGGCTCTCTGAGACATTGATGCCACCTGAAGATCCAAGTGTGGCACAGGATCCAAGAGCACCCCCAGGCTGCAAACCCAAGTGACAAGAGAAGGCTGAACTTCAACAGTGATAGGTTTCCCAGTCCCACCACCGTCACCCCTGTCTTATCTGGATTCAGTTTCAATTGGTTACCCTCCATCCAGCCCTCAACTATAGCCAGGCACTGGGAAAGGACTGAAACTGGAACCAGGGTCAGAAGAGAAGGAATGGTAGAGCTGGATGTCATCAGCATACTGGTGGTATCTCACTCCAAATCTTTGTACAGTCTTGCCCAGCAGCCTCATATACATATTGAATATACATATTGAACAAGAGAGGGGACTAGGTGGAGCCCTGCGAGACCCCATAGAAAGGGTGCTAAAGAGAGGATGGGCACTTGTCCATCACCACCCCCTGAGACCTCCCTGCTAGGAAAGACTGGAATTGGTTTACAGCTGTCTTGCAAATACCTACCAGGTTATATAAATCCTTTATCAGCACCTCATGATCAACCATTTCATGGCCCCTGAAAGGTCTGTAAGATCAGCAGGGCACAGTTTCTTCTGTTGATTGCTAGGCGATGACTGCTGACCAAAGCCATGAGCGCAGTCTCTGCATTGTGTCCAGGATGAAAGCCAGACCTACAAGGGTCCAGGAAACCAGTGGCATCCAGATGTGCCTGGAGCTGTCAGGCAACCATCCTTTCAATGAACTGCCCCAAAAGGGAAGGTTGAAGACTGGGTGGGTGGGGTGAATTGGGAGTTAGCGTCAAGTGATGGTTTCTTGAGCCGGTGTCAGACAATTGCAGATTTTAGATCATCTAAGCAACCTGCTTTCCTGAAGGGAGGTGTTGACAATCCCTGCCAACAGTGGCCTCAGTCTCCCTCAGCTGGCTTTTAGTAAGCCAGGACACACATGGATCCATTTCAAAACTGGTCACCCTTATCTCCCCAAGCACATCCTCTGCCTCTGTGGGTGATAGCAATTTAAAACAATCCATATCAACAGGCCAAGACTAGGTTTCAACAACCCCAGATTCTGCCTCTGCAGCAAAAGTGGTGGTCCCCATATGTCCCAGGTAGGGGAGATTAGACTAATGCAATGATCAAACAATGCATAGGGCAGTTTCACTTTTCAGGAACCTTAGCCCAACAATGCCCTGCTTTGAGAATTGCCTCTCATCAGAAGAACGCAGGTCAGAACACACTCTCCCATTGCTCATATCACATCCGCTTTTCCCAAGCTGCTGCCATACAAACCTTGCACACACAAAACAGCCAACCACACAACCTTTCATTCTAAGCGTCAAAACTTGCTCACACATTAAGAACATGGAAGGCTATGTGTTACAGTGCCACCTGGTGCAAGCTTCCATCATTAATTAGTGCTGTGTAGATAAGTGAAAAACTGATACTCAAAGGTGTATGTTCTGTCCAGTTATCCAATTACTTTATTTCAAAGTGTCTTCACCCTGAGCATTTCTTTTCCCTTGTATGCCACAGGTGGGTGGTGTTGCAGTGATGGCAGTTGGCATATGGACCTTAGCTGAAAAGAGCAACTACCTGAATATCCTGGCATCTAGTACATTTGCAGTTTCCGCATATATCCTGATCTTCGCAGGAAGTCTTGTCGTGATTACAGGTTTTCTGGGATTCTCTGCAGTCGTCAGGGAACAAAGGAGTTGTCTTTCTACAGTGAGTAACTGGATTCTGTCTTTTTAATGGTAGCATTCTACTAAGAAAAGAGATATGTGTAAGTGGTTCCAATGGCAAGGAAAGAAATACAAGTACAGCATGCTGCTATTGTGCTTTTACTTAGTCTAGAGAAAAGGAATAGGGCACAATTAAGTGAGCCCTTTAACAAAAAAAAGGTGTCTTTCAAGGAAGGCTTCCAAAATATACCATTTTCTTTTGTATTTGTGATGCAATTGAGATGCTTTCAAATGCTGTTCCTGCTGGAAAACCCTGTAATAAAAACAGCAAATGTGACTTTTAGCAATTTTATCTAATCAAGGCTGGATTCAGAAAGGCTCCAAAGTTTCTGGCGGAATAAGACACAAAGGGCCTCAAAAATATTGATTGGCACATCGAAATCCTAATGAAAAGTGACATTTTAAAAATAACATCTTCTTACTCCTCTGATTTGCTTTCTATTGCTATTCACAACTTCAATAATGAAAATATTTTTATTGCTCTGTACATCTTTTCTCCCTGCAGAGCCAGTATAGCTCAGGGAAAAAAGGAGCTGGATTTTATTCTTTGTGCGTCATCTGCAAAATTGTTTACTAAATGCAAAATGGAAAATCAGTTGCAGCTGAGCAAATCCATTGGTGACCAGGGAACTGCATTAGTTTCATAGAGGGCATGATCTAGAGAAGTGGTAGCCAATCTGTATTGGCAGTAGCATGGGGGGCCTCTATGTGTGGCACATGGCAGGTTGGGGAGAGGATAGGCAGGTAGAGAAGTGAGCAGAAAGCAGAACAGCAAATCAAGCAGGGGGAGACGATTGGAATGGTGCTTGGGGAGGGGTGGGGTGTCTAATTTGTGACACACCTACCAAAAAAGGTCAGTCCCAACAGATCTAGACACAATGTGGTTGCACAGGGACATTGCAGTCATAATGTTGCCACTGGAGTGTGTCTTATGGGGAAGGTGTGAAGAAAGAAAAGTATTTGCCCTCAATCATATTCCAGGCTAAGTCTGCAGGACAGCGAGTTAGAAAAATGAGTTTTTATTGTGCTTGTAAACTGAGCACATTTGGCCTAACTCACTGAGCAGCAAAGTAGAGGGAGCCCCACAGTACTGTGTTCAGAGAGTCACTTTTCACCACAGTTTAAGAGCTGATGCACCTAGCAGAGAACTTAAAGAGGAACTAAGTACCTTATGCAGGGGGTTAAAAACCAAGGGTGACTTGAGCACTTTGTAGACCTAGTGCTGGTAGGTAGCAGAGGGTGAATCTAATTCTGTGAGCAAATTCTTTAGTGGGAAGTTGTCCAGCAGCTCCTCCATCCTGGGCACACCCTCCTATTTCAGCTGACAGGGGTGGTTGCTAGTAGAATCCAGCTGGAGACTCCTTCTGCAGGAAGCTAACTCCCAGTATCTCTGTCCCATTTTCTAAACTTTGAGAATTGTGGCAAGCTTTTTTTTTCCCCTTTACTTCACCTTTCTTTTCCATTTCCTTCTCATCACTGCTATCTCTCAGGACTTCCAGCCCAGCTGGATGTAATTCTCATGTGTGCTAAGGCCTCTGTACACATCTCTTGTGCCATAAAGGAGATGTACATTATCTGTACAGGTTTCCCTCTCTTTATGCTGTACATGCGTTCCTGTAAAACAGCGCATAACTCAAATTCACATAAAGGGAACCCACTTTACCATAGGCGACGCGTAGATTGGCTGATATTGGCCCTCGTTGGCTGGGGAGTGGGGGCACCAAGAGAAGCACCAGCCAGTGCCCCCCTGATATTGGCGCTGGCCAGGGAGCAGGGGTGCTGAGAGAAGCACCGGCAGTACATCTGGTTTTGCCGCCAGCGCTTCTGGTTTTAAAGTTACCCATACACTTTACAATGTAACAAATAGGGATATGTTCCAAGACCTCAACTGTACTGAACCCCAGGCCCTTTTCTACCCATTTTACAAGACAATTTTGGTACTCACCAACAGCAGACAGTACACACAAGCACAGGGCACTATCATAATGGGGATGGTAACTACAGAAACATGTCGCAGACAACGAGCGAGGAGCACAGATCCACCCAGGAGACTATATTTTGGTGTGCATCACCCCCACAGTGCACTGCCCAGAGCAGCTGACTGCAGGCGTCCACCACACCGATTGCATAAAAGTGAATTTACCTTGCATATAACAAATTTTTTGTATAAAAAGGGTCATCACATAAGAGTGAATTTGCATATACGGGACCCACATAAAGTGAAGAAAATCTGTATATCACTGTAATACTATTTTTCACTCTGAGCTGTGTAAAGGGGCCTTAATATTAATAAGAATTAGGCCAATTATAACTGAAGAGAAATACCTGAAGTTTAGAGAGAGAAAATGTTTCATTTCTAGAGTGACCATTTGTATTATAATAGTATTGTGATTTTGCAAAAGCACTAACTGGCAAGAGTGGATGAAATTTTAAGAATGAAGGATTATTTATTCATTCAGGTGTCATAAATTACCAAGAATGGGAGGGAAATAAAGAAAAATATCATTATATTAAGTTACTTAGCATTTGGGGGAAAGTCCAGAATTGGCACATTTTAGAGCAACTAATCTCGTTTTTCTTTATTTGAATGTTTTGCCATATGTAACATTTTAAAGACATTTGGATGTACTTGTCTTGCAAATGTTATAATCTGATATGCAGATATATGACAAAAGCAGAAGTGTTCCTAAATAGAATGTGTTTCTAAGTTTCCAACAAGAGTTTAGTGGCTTTTACATATTTTTTCAGTCTTCCAGTAATATGAATGTTATTTACAATTTGGTCTGAATTTTCAGATATTTGTGCCTGTTTCTTTGCATCATTTTTTTAACTTCAACATGTGTCTTAGAGTCTACCTTCATGAATAAACCATAGACTAAAGAGATGGACAGAAAGTAAACTGAAGTTGTTATGCACTTAGATGGGTTTCAGTACTGACAAGTGCAAGGTACTGCACCTGGGGAGGAAGAACCAGCAGCATACCTACAGGCTGGGGAACTCCCTTCTCATCAGCGCAGAGGCAGAAAAGGATCTTGGAGTCACTATTGATTCCAAGATGAACATGGGCCTCCAATGTGAGGACGCGGTCAGAATGGCTAACCGTACCTTGTCATGCATCCAGAGATGCATCTTGAGCAGGTCCAAGGAGGTGATCCTCCCCCTCTATGCGACACTGGTCAGGCCACAGTTGGAGTACTGTGTCCAGTTCTGGACGCCGCACTTCAGGAGGGATGTGGCCAGCATCGAGAGGGTCCACAAGAGAAGGCTGAGAGGTGATCTGGTGGCCATCTATAAACTGGCCAAGGGGGACCAGCAGGCAATGGGAGAGTCCCTGTTCCCCCGAGCACTACCAGGAGTAACAAGGAATAATGGCCACAAGATGACTGAGAGTAGGTTCAAGCTAGATATCAGGAGGCACTACTTCACAGTCAGGGCAGCTAGGATCTGGAACTAACTTCCAAGGGAAGTGGTGCTCGCTCCTACCCTCGGGGTCTTCAAAAGAAGCCTAGATAATCACCTCGCTGGGGTCGTTTGACCCCAGCATTCTTTCCTGTCCATGGTGAGGGCTCGGACTTGATGATCTGCTCAGGTCCCTTCCAACCCTACCAACTATGACACTATGACTCTAGAGAAGATTTTTTTTTAAAAAGCATCCATGGGCTTTATGCTCCTGAATCCCCTGTGTGCTTTTGAAAATTTCTCCTCCTGCCATCACATGAAGCCAGTGTCCAGTTTCTCATTCAACTGTTCATTATTGATTGTCCACATCAATCCAATTCAATTTGCACAAGTTGCATGCTTTTATTGGCAGTCTTTAATAATAGAGAGACATAGAATAAAAGGAGTATAAAATGTATTTGCTCAGTAAACTATAATCAAAAGATTGTCTATATAGAAGCTAAGCTTAAGTTAGAATATGCTCTTTACCTCAGCCCTGCAAATCTTAGCGGAAAAAACATGTTGTCTCTCCTAAGCTGAGACCCTTTGAGCCTGTCTGCTGATGGGCCAGTACAGGGTCCCAAGGAGGTGAGTGCAATAGGAATCAGTTCTTTGACAAAATACCAGCACGTTGGTCTTCTCCCAAAAGCTTTGCTATGACTTTGCATCAGAGGAAAGAGGCTGCACCTTATAGGTCTGATCCAAATCCCAGTGATGTTCACCAAAGGCATGTGGATTCTGCTTTCCCAGTATTCTCTGAGCACTCCCCCTCTCAAGCACACTACCCATTCACTCCCATTCCCACTCCACTCATGACAAAGGCAGACATGAGGTGGTGAAACTGCTCTGCAGATTCCCAACAGTGTGTATTGCAATGTCTTTTGAGAGTGGCAGCAAGGAATGCCATCAGAGGAGCTTTACTGCCTCATGTCTGGGACTGGTAGGTGTAGATGGGCAGAGCATGCACTGTGGAAGCAATGTAGACATTGACTTTGCTTTGGGCTTTGGGCTGGTCTTATGTGTAGCACCATCTAAAATGTTTATTTCTGGCATCTATGGTCTTGCTTCAGGTGGAGCGGAATACTCACCAAATCCTGAAGTAATTATTCAGGCAAAACTTCCAACTTTGCCATTTTAAATAGTTGTTTATAGTGAACCTTTTTTTTTTTTCTTCAGAAATTTTCATTTTCCTCACAAAATAAGTGACCGTTAATTTTACCAGAAATGATACTGAAACTGTGACTTGGTATTATTTTATACTGGAAACATGGTCAGTGAAAAATGTAGTAACTAATCTCAATAACATTTTGATGAAAAGTTTAAGACAATATTTGGGTGTGAGAAAAGGAGGAAGTTGTTATAGTGTGCACAATTTTTATGGAAACCTTTTTTCTTTTTCTGTTTTGAGAAAAGGCCTTCACTTATCAGAAAACATCATTTTTGTTTGAAAAATGTTGACGAGCTCCAGTTTTGAGTGATTAACTACTGAGTAAGGATTTGCAGTTATGGTGTGTTGAGTTCAGTATGAACTGTCAGAACTCAAAC